GTCTCTTAAGCTCTCCTCCTCAGCCTTATTTTTAACATCTCTTATCATTTTTTATGTCCTTCTCTTAAGTCCGTTTTATTTGTCTGTATCCTTTGAAAAATGTGTTAGCCCAAACTAAAAGCGGCTCTCTTGATAAAGCTCAGCTGAATCAAACAGAGTGGAAAAACTATCTTTCTTGTATTATACGTGATGCTCCAATTAACACAACCTAGCATAGCATTTGTCTTTTCTGTGACAGCACGGTCTTTTTTCCTTGTTCAGTATATTGTCCATTATTACTACTAGTCCTTTTGCTGGAGTTTTCTGATCTAACTGGTTATATCTGTAACTTTGATCTTTCTACTCTTAAGTTGTTCCACCATCTGCTTTGAGTTTCCATACAGCCACACATGCTTCCCATCTTCATACTTATTTGTATGTGGCTTTATGTTATCTGAATCGTTGTCCTAGTGCCACCAATGTTAGCCATTAGAGTAATTTTGCTATATTATCCGTAGGACGGACTTGTTCCAGTAACTGAATACTCCCACCAGCAATACCAAAGCCCTATCAGAAGCTTATCTCCACACCATCTCAACTATTGCTACTGTGTTTGCGGGGATTAAAAAATTATATATATACATGTTATTTCCTTGGAATAGGAAGGTTTCCTTGTACGTAGTTAATCAATGATCTATGAAAACACTAAGGAGGCTAGAGTATAATTATGCAAAACACAATTTTTCTTACAGTATTTTGATGTGGTATCTCCTTTCATCTTAATTATAAAATCAAATATTCAGCAATCTTTCACCAACTGGAGTTTCAAAACCCCATTTCAGAAACCTGGACAGGTGATGTTCCAGAACCAGAATATACATGCATCTGCAACACACATGGAAGGTAGACAGAAGGGAATGCAGCCACTATTGAATTCCCACCCAGTGACTTTGTAGGACTAGCTGGCATAAAAGCCTTGAGACACCATTTTGTGTTGGAACTGCTACATTATTACTCTTCTGAAGCCCAGATTTGAGGAGCTGCAGCTCAAGTTTTTGAGGCTTCTCTTTCTTCAGCAGTAAATATGAAAGACTTCACAGCCCTAGAGTGGACCAAGGAAATATTCTTCAAATCAGATTTTTAATAGAGCAACATTTGTCAAATTTTGGGAAAACATTCAGATTTATCAAAGTGATATTTTTCTCACCATGCATTATTTTGCTAGAAGCTTTGTGCACACGCTCACAAAGACTCTTGAAGTACATTCATATATCTACACACATCTGAATCTTTATAGGTGTTTTTACGGTATTCTTGATGTAGAGGAGGGCTCAAAATTTCCCTTTACTCTTATTTAGCTTTTATTTCTCTTACTCTTTATTGTGCATGAAATAATGCTCTTTGCTTTTGCTGGACTAACAAATATTTATAATGTTTATTCATTTGCTTTCCCCTTTTAACATGAATTAGAACAGTTTGTCTTACTCAGGTTTCCAGAGGTTTGTCTACCTCACTTGCTCAAAATGCATTCCCAGGACCAGACAAGAGCACACTGTGCCTGCACACAACCCACACCAGGGCCTTGGGCAGCATGCCCAAAAGTGCCTGGCAGGGTCCTAACCACCTACTTACATATTAATACCACCTAAGAAAGCCCCGTGTGTTGGGGCTCACAGGATGTCGCATGTGCTAAAGAAGCATGTTTTCTGCCCAGACATTGCTGGGTGCAGAGGCTGGTCCAGCCCACAGGACAATCATGGGGCACCTCTCAGAGAAAGAGTTACTCCTTTTCACAGAGGTGAAATTGCCACCATGGTCAGATTCAGGTATTTTAGAGCAAGGAGTGAGATATCCAAAATATGAGATTTTACAATATATTAATATATGTATATTCTTATACATGTTAATTTATGATATACATTTCTAATGGAACAGGATTACTAAGAGAAGAGAGAACTCTTTCTTTTTTATTTTTCTTTTCCTTTACCTTCTTCTTTCTTTTTCTTTCTTTTCCCATATTTCCTTCTCTTTTTTTACTTTTTCAAAGGAGAAAAAGAGAAAACAAAGTCTCTCTTGCTGTATTGTCATTCTGGAAGTACAAAGCAGCACTGAGGTTTCTGCAAGAAAATGTTGATAACTCCATATGGTAGAAAGTCCACGTAAACAATGACTTTGAACAGGCCACATGCTGAGACAGTGACACTGGGTTAGTGTAGCTATCCCCTCTAGCACAGCTGTAACTTATGCCAGCAATAAAAGATTTCTGATGGTGTGTTATTCCTCAATTCAAAAAGAAAAAGAATTTTTATCAATAACAGTACTTTTAGATTAATATAGTTGCTTAAACATTAAAGCTTCTGCAGCGTAGCATTTAACAGCATAGTTAAAATTAAAACCATGAATAAACACCCCACCTCAGATTGACATTATGTTATGAGCCATTCCTAGTAAGGATCTGACCATTATCTTACCACTGTCTATGCCAGTAACATTGCCTGTAGGAATAAAATATTTCCTTGTACAGTGGGTATTTCAGACCCAATTCTCCCAAATGAGAGTGGGAGTGAAACCCAATGTACTGACTCACCGTAAAGATCTTTTCAAGTCTGAGGAAAATGTAACTCCCAGAATAAATTACTGTACACAACATTTTATTTTGGGCCAGTTACTACTTTGCAATAATCATTCAAGCGCTCTTATCTCCTGTTCTAAAAGGCTTGCTTTGACATGTTCAAACATTAGCTGCTTGTTACAGGAAGACTTACTTTCCAGGAACACAAAGATTCAGTCTTTCATCAAACTGTTCATAGCGGTACATTTACTCTCCCTGAAAAAATTGTTTCTGTTGATATAGTTCAACTACCCTGAAGAAGAAGTTCGGTTCTGAGCAGATGATTAGGATGACTGACTGCAAGCCAGGGCTAAGAAATTACTAAATATTGCTAGTGTTAAGAGCACTATGATTTCTCTATATATATCGCTTCTGATTCTTTAGCCATTTTATTCCTCCTCAAAAAAAAAAAATAGGAGCCAGGAACTATTTCAAGATGTTTCCTCCCCCCCCCTTTTTTTTTACCCATGTTTTTACAATCTTCTATTTATCATGGAATTTTCCAGCAGCAGAACTACAAAAAAGTTTTGTTCCGTGTTATGGGAAATAGCTCTCCAGAAACAGGACAAAGATAGAAATCTCTCCCATTTTATGAGCACATGAGAAAATACTCTAAAGACGTATACGAGCCTTTTCATTCTCAAACACTTCCTCTGACGGATTTTGAGACAGCTAAAAGTTTAAGTCATTATTGATGTCACTTTTGGAAGTTTTGTTCTTAACACATTAGGACTGATGAATAAGGCATGGGACATTCCACAATATCCCAGCTGGGGGATTATACAGCTGGACAAAATTATCCCTGTTATTTTGGGGTTTTAAATGATGATATATCTTTTGATAAACCTTCTTGTTATAGTTGAGTAGTAGAGACATTATAGGACATAAATAGAGACATAATAGGACAAAATAATTCCATGAAAATAATGTTTTAATTTTGAACAAATGTGCCTTTAGCAAGAATGTTTGTGAGATGCCTTGTGATTACTGAAAAATGGGAATAGAAAATGATTTTTGAATTCTGAAATATGATGGTTTACAATAGAAAACCTGACTTTGAGTTACTTCCACTCAGAGAAACACAACATGTGATGTGTTCTGCGCCGACTAACTGACATAACAATATTGAATGCCAAATTTTGAATATCAAACACTCACAGTGAAGTGTTCATAAATGATACACCTTCATTCAGGGAATAATTCTGAATAATAAATCTAAGAAAATCATAAACTGCTCTTGTACAATTCACAAATAGAAAAAGGAGATGAGATTTGTCTAACAAATTATTTGGAGTGAATTATGCATCCAGCAGCTACCTGAGTCCCTAATCTGTATTTTCTAAAATTTGTATGGGATGTCTCCTCTAGCGATTTTGTGATATAATTACCTAGATCAGCCATTCCCCAGCTGGATCCTCTATGGCAGCATCAGTGTGCTTATGTATTCCTGGATGAGACTGCTTTATACATCGTTTCCTTATGCCACTTCCATATTACCTTTCTAAGCAGATTTGTCACCTGTTCTGGGAGACACGGTGGCCTCCATTTCCTTCAGTGACCTAAAATAATTAAGAGCTAAATCTCCTGTCTTCAAGTGCTTTTGCATATGCTTAAATTTATGCACATGAGTAATTTCATTGATTTTAATGGGTCTATCCATAGGAGTACATTTAAGAAAAGTTATTTGAAGTTGTGGGCTTTTAAGAGATTTGTCTTCTAGTGTTACATGATTCCTACTTTATCAGTAAATATTGCCTAGCAATGTCCAAAACATAGACTACTAACCAAAGGACCTAAGAGTTATCGATAATAAAAATCCTTAATAAAATTAATCAACTTTGCATGCATTTATATGATTATTTTCAAATATATGTGTGTGATTTACATTGAAATATATGAAATCAGAAAAAGACTCACATGTTCAGAGTCTTCTTTTGCTTTTGAAAGGTACTTTGGGTCAGACTCCCAAAAAAACCTCAGCACTTCATTGCAGTTTACAGAGCTGCTTGGTAGTAAATTTGGCTCTGAGCATTAAGAAAAATTGTGTATTTTTTCAGCCATCTATGGAAGTAACATTGACACCAGGACAAGTATAAATGAGGATGCCTGTAATGTATTTCACTGCTTGTAACCTATACAGACAGCACTGGAGTGCAGCAGTCAGCTGAAGGAGCTGATTTTTGGAAGGGGCAATTGGAAGGAAAATCTAAATGGGCTAGCTGTTAAGAACAAGAAGCTTTTGATTTAGGAAATATTAAAAGTGAGTTCCTGGATTTTATTCCTGACACACACCCAATTAATATATTTTCCAAAACCAAGACACCATATTTGCAGGATTTATTTAATATTAATGGAGGTATTAAAGGGGATAAACTACTACCTGTAAGATGCTTTTAATTTTTTTTCACAGGTCTTGTTTCAAAAATACAGAAGCTGTTTCTGACCTAATTGATCAAAAATGCTTTTCTTCTGGAAACAGTGCAAAATGTCTTCTTTTCAAGGCAAATGACTGTGGGGACTGGTGAGAGAGACAAAGAAAGGTAATATATGCTAAAAAAAGTGCCAGAATTTGAGCTGGAAATAAACCTTCAGCATAACATGCTTTTTGATATTGCTCATACAACCGTTCAGAACTTTTATTTCTTCATTTGGACGCATACAGCTAGTTAAAAATGTCTGTTACAAGTCTTTTCTTCCTATTAGTTTTCCGAATTTCTTGGAAAGGATATTCTTCAAAATTGTTTATGATTGAACTTTAGAAATTTCCACTTCTAGGAAACCTCACACAAAAATAAGGTCATTAATTAAATAATTCAATAAAAAATATTCAGAATAAATTATTTTTTTTATTAGGGATTTTTGGAGAAATGTCCAGATATCTTATCCCAGAGCTACTCAAAAAGTTTATTTTTGTTCCAGCTGCAAAGTTCGTCTACTCTCTTACTACGATAATTATATACATATTTTAATCACCAGACAAATTACTAGAAAAGACTAAGCTTATCATAAGAGAATAACTATCACCTATCTGTAAAAGTATTTAATTTGAAGAAATTTTTCAATTAAGTAAAAAAACACAAAAATCACTACAATGTTCTCTTACTGTACACACATATATGTTTCATATATGTGTGAAGGAAGGATTCCCTTTCACACACTTAAATTCTAATTTAAAAAACACAAACTATTTACACATTATCTCCTCGTTCTTTAGATAAAGTACTGAACAAAGAGTACTAAGAACCCTCCCAACAGGTTGACCTTTCCCCTGTGATCTAACCTTACTTTCCTCTCTTTTCTTCTTTTTTAATAACTGCAGAGACACTATTTATCAGATACAAGAGGAATACCTTACATAAGGACACATAACCCAGGACTCATTTTAATATTCATGAGGTCGCTGGCTTTATTAAAGAAATTCAAGTAGGTAGTGAACACTGGAATGCATTCCTCCACGATATATCCTTTATCTGCTTGTTAAAGTGAAGCATTACTAATGCAGTTTTAGCTGCTCCTTCTTTGGAATTGAACTTCTTGGTAAACATGTAATACGTGTTCTAGATTCTCCAGCATGTGTACCTACATTAACAACCACAACTATTTATAGTTGCTGCCAGGGTCCTAAAGACATGAAAGTTTCCAGACCCAGCATGTTAGCTTTGCACTCACCGAAAGAAAGAAACAAAAAAATTTAGAAAGTTCTCCCCTCATGTCAAAATCTAGAGATTCATTTCCCACATCAGATTTTTTCTCAAAACACTCTAGGAAAGGCCAGATTCAAAAACCATGAGGCAAAAAGGAACCCCTTATTGTTTTTTTTCTGGACAAATCTTGAGAGGTTTTCCAATTGTATCTCTCTACAAAATGAGAGATCATTTTAGGAAAAAAATACAATTACTACATGAAAGGAAACACCATTCAAATGTTGTTAATTAAATGAGGGAGCGGATGTCAATGTTAATGTGTAGGTACATAAAAAGAACCTTATTTTTCAGATGTATGACAGGGCTCCCTGAAGAACACAAGTTTTTCTATATTAATTCCATGGTAGTTGAAAGCTACATAATCAAAAACACTTTCTAAGTTTGGCAGAAATATAACATTGGCTGTTTAAAATAAAAGGTCTGTATGGAAAGTTCAGTTTTGTTTTGGTTTTGATTTTTTTTTTTTCATTCCCCTAGGGTCATTGTGGTGAAGGAAATATTTTTATCTAGGCCTCAGGAAACGGTGGTCTGGCTAGTGACTGCAGTGCTGCGGACAGTTACATGCACAGTATTCACTCAGGGCAAAGCATGCCATCACTTATGTCTGCCCCTAAATTCCTGGACTACAAGAACTTATGTCAATATCCACCTGGAAATGCCTAGTGAGGAAGGACTGTGGAAGCTACTACCCTGAAACAACCCTTCAGACTCAAGTGAGGTGAGTCAGAAATGTGCAAGGCATTGGTATGGATAAGGAGAACCCTACTGAGTTAAATTTCAAACCAATATTCAATAAGAGGCCATCACACACCTCACTTATATAAATGAACTAAAGTCACAAGGAACATAGAGTTGTCTGACGGAGTCTTTGTGCTTTTCAGGTGAATACTTACAGCAGAAGCAGTGTGGTATCCTGAAGTTAGGAAAAATCTGGTAGATTTTCTGAAAGTAGTTTTACGAATTTTCACTCCTGTTTTCAGGACTTTAAAGGTGTTTTTCACTTGCCCCTTTTAATACAAGGAAGTCCATTTCCTACTCCAGACCTGAAAATTGCTGCACATAAATCTGTAGCTCTAGCTGGGTTCTTCTGCTGTAATTCTGCCCATTCTGAACACCTTACAAACCGATTGGTTTTTCCTGGGCTTCTTCAGAAAATACGGACTGAAACTATAGACATCAGCTGTAAGGCTTAGAGTACACACAGTTTCTTAACTCCCAAAGGACCTTCCAAATATAACACCATTTATGAGTTTAATCAACACTCTTGTCTCTGATAACCATTCAAACACATGCAGGCAAGTATCTTTCTGTTTTCCCTTTCTCTTCTATGCTGATTTCATTCAGGACAATACTTTTTGAAGGTGTTATATTTCAGCTTTTCTTTTCTTTGTTTATTTCATTTTCTAGATACTTCCCATTGAGTTACAGTTTAATTTATTCTGTAATTCATTTTTTTAATTAGGCATTTTTCTATAAGAAACCCCCAGCTTCCAAGCCTAATCAACATTGCTCTATATTTCACCTTATGTGTCATAAAAAATGACAAAATGCACTCTATTTTCTCTTTCTGTTGGTGGCTATCCTCTATCTTTACTTATAGATGTAGCCTTGTTTTCATTTTTTATTAACTTTACTAGATGTTAGCACTCATATCTTAGATAATCATACATATTTGAAAATACTATAGGAATCTCAGAGGAAACTCTTACAGCTGGTCAGCAATAAATTTTTTAGATGTGTGAGGGACATGGAGAGAGAGGAGAAATACAGTTATAAGATTACAGCTGATACCAGGCATAATTTTTACAACTGGTCAGTACATTGAATTATTAGTCCCATGCAAAACCACTTAAAACCAATAAGAACAGATGATAAAATAGGCTATATTCTGGTTTACCTCTTTATTTGCCAGACCAAGACTTCCCATTCAAAAAGGACTAATGTCTGGCAAATTGCCTGGTTATCAACGTGCGATGTCTAGCTGGTGGTATGGGGAGCTGAGTTTTCACTGTGGTTGTGAAGGATTAGCAGCAACTTTGGTAGCACTAGTGGTAGACCACCGAGAGTCTGAGAATCAGACTTTTTCATTATGTTCATTTTGCCTCGGACTTCATTTTACTTTCTTCAAACACTTCAGACAAATCTACTCAGTAGTATCCAACAATGATTCCAGGGAGATAATCTTGTTTTGTATACACTGAAAAAATTCTGGCAGTCTTTCCTTTGAAGGGCTCCAAGTCTTCTGTGCCTGAGAGCAAAGGCTTGAAATTTTAAAAGGACTCATAATGTTGATATAAATCCAAACCCATTCTAACTCGGACAAGTAAGGAACTTTTGGGAAAACATTTTCAACAGAGGTTTCACAGTATCACAGACTCATGTAGGTTTGAAAGGGTCTTCAGGACGTGTCTAGTCCAACCTTCTGCTAAGAACAAGGTCAACATTAAATTCACAAGCCGGATTGTCAGGTCTTGAAAACCTCCAGAGGCAGATTCCACAGCGTCTCTGGGCAACCTACCCTAGTGCTTTATTTTCCTCACACTTAAAAAGTTTTTCCTTATACAGACTCAGAATCTCCACCATTCTGGTTAAGTCTATTATCTCTTGATCTCTTGCCATGCACCTCAGTGATAGACTTATCTCTACCATCTTAGTAGCCTATTCATAAGTGGCTCTGAGGTCCCCCTGCAGTAACCTCTTCAGACTGAACGAAACCCAACTGCTAAAGATATTCTTTACAGGAAATGTGCTGTAGCCCCTGGATTATACTTATTTTTGTCTTGCGTGCATTGGATTCCCAAAACCAAACACAATATCTGGATCTGGCCAAGTATAGGAGAATAATCGTTGCCTCAAAATACCACTAACACAATTAATACAGAACCACAGAAGAACCCTGGCTGGAAGGGTCCAACCTTTCATTTTGTTAAAGAGCCCAAAACACCATTAAGTTTCATAACTACCAGGGCACATGAACTGCTGGTTCATGTTTAGGCTACTTCCACCCAGATCCTTAACAAAACTGCTCTCCAGAGAGTCAGTCCCAAACCTGCAGGGAGTTAGTCCACACACACACACATGCACACCTATCCCACTGAATAGTGAACTGGGGTGGGTATTTAGGAAGCAAGCAGGAAGCCTTTACCCTCTGAGGTAGGGAGCCAGGCAAAGGGCATAGCCACTAAAACCAGTACAGAAAAGGCACACAAATAAATCAGATGGAGATCTTCATGGGTAGAAGAGAGATCAGGACAGTTTAAGGGTGTCTAAACCCAGACAAAAATTCTGAGATTGTTACTGTGAACAGTGAATTGACAGAGGATTTCATAACTGAGTGAAAATGGAGTCAAGTTAAAGGACCGCTTGTGAGGAAGACATTGAACTGAGAAGGCTATGGCAGCTTGGAAGTTAGAGAGAGAGGGGATAAAGTTATGGGAAAATGCCATGTGACATCTGTAAAAACAAATAATATGTGAATACATAACCAAATACAAAACATTATTCATATTTAATAGGCAATTTTTTCTGAGTTCTTGGCTATGTCATTACAGCTTTTGGTTGTGCCTAATGTGTATCATTAATGTCTATTTTTTATTTGCATCTTATCATATACTAAGTGGATGATTTTAAATTCCAAATAATACTAAGAGTAGCCTATTTCTTCACCTTAGTTTTATTGAAAAATAATGCAATATCGGCAGAGTTCTCTGACGGAAACTCAAAATCTCAAAGGCTGTTCTTTTTAAAACTGAGATTTTCTTTTGAAGGAAATACCGAAATTAAGTTTCTTACCTTTCAATTCCCTCCTGCTGGAATCAGGAGTCATATGCTTCTTGAAGAGCAAAATTTGTTTAGACCATTCACAAAGGTTACTATTTTATGCACATGAGTAATGCAGCCTCTGTAAGTCGAATGTGATGTTATGTCTAGAAATGTTATGCATAAGATTTATCTTCAAAGATGTTTCTGAACTTACTTATGCATATCTTTGCACTTAAATTTGATTTGATAACTTGTCAAACATATCCAATTTGTTTGTGTTTTTCTGTTCTCTTCTCCATACTGGGAAGTACTTTTTACCAACTTGACATTGGTAAAATGAGTATTAAGTTTATTAGCACCATCCACAGTTCTGTGACAAGAGAGAAAACAAAAGGCTGAGAGAGGAAGTAAGAGAAAAGAAAGGGAAGGAAAGGTTTGGGAAGGGAAGGTTTGGGAAGGTTTGAGAAGTGAAGGTTTGGGAAGGTTTGGGAAGGGAAAATTTAGGAAGGTTTGAGAAATGAAGGTTTGGGAAGGTTTGGGAAAGGAAGGTTTGGGAAGGTTTGGGAGGTTTGGGAAGGTTTGGGAGGTTTGGGAAGGGAAGGGAAGGGAAGGGAAGGGAAGGGAAGGGAAGGGGGGGGGGGAGGGGAAGGGAAGGGAAGGGGAAGGGGGGAAGAAGGGAAGGGGAAAGGGAAGGGGGGAAGGGGAAGGGGAAGGGATGAAAGTATGAGCTTAATGAAAGTATGTGGGGACTTAGGTTACAAAGAGCTTTGAAATACAGCAGCAAAATAAGGAATAAACATACAACCATAATTCAGCTTTCCTTGAAGACCGTGTAATCAGTCTGGATGTTGAGATGTCAGGTTATTCATTCCAAACTAACTTTCTTTTTAAAAATGTCATGTGCTTGTTTGAAACATTAACTTGCTATCATTGCATGTAAACCTTATATACTTCTGTTAAAATTGTGCCACTTTGACACCTTGCAGAACATGTAATTTTACTACTTCATGCTCCAAATCTCCCCTGACTAGTTCTGGCTGCTTAGCTGGGTTCATCTCTTGTGATTTGTCGTTACCACGAGGATCCCAAGCAGCACCACCAGGATCACCAATGGCAGGGACAAGAATGAATCCTGGAGTATGTAGTCCAGGCAGAGACTATCCTGCAGTGAAGGTTGCAAGCCTGAAGTACTGACCTGTCATTGCCCTGAAGCCTTATGTCAGTATTTCCACAGGGAATTATTTTCTTTCTCAACTGAAGTATTTTGAGGGTTGATTTCTTTTCATCAAAATGTCAACATTTGACACGTATAATGTCAATTTTCCAGCCATTCTACAGTAAATTGGACCAGATACAAATGTATGTGTATCTCCTCTATTGCTCCATACTAGCTGGTTTTTTCAATGAGAAATTATGGAAAAAAGTGAAGATGTGTCAGAATCTATAGGCTCTAATAGTGGGATTCATCCACAAAATACAAAAATCTATAACCGAGACATCTACATCTGAGGTTGTCACTCTGGACTCTTTTCATAATCAGTGGAGAGAAATAGGCACTTTAGGGTGTGATTCATCTTATCCTGAAGTAGATGACTAAAACAGGTCAGCTGAATCATGTTTTAAAAGCACCTCTTATTCTCCATCAGCATTAGAGGGAATCTATGGTGACAACTTCAGACACTGACAGCTCAAGTTAAATAAAATTACTTATGTCTTAAGAGTCCATAGAATTGTTGTGCATAGACTTGTCCTTTTGCTCCATAATTTCACCTGTTCATTTTATTTGTTTCCAAACATGCAATGAGTTTTTCTTTTCCTTCCTGTTAAACCAATCTTTTTAACTTTTATTTTTTCCAACCTACATTACCTTGCATATCCTTTTTCTATTCCTCTCATTGTCATAAAATCAGGCTTTAAAACAGCAATTTTAAGCCAGTATCTGAGATAAATAAATGC